GTATAAAATGAGGCAAATGGAGGGAGGGAGGGAGGGATGGGAAAAGGAGGGAGGAGGGGAGCAGGACAGGGAGGGACAGTTGGATGGGTGGGTTATTGGGTGGATTGGTGAAAGGATAGATGGATGGTTGGGCGAAATAAGGGAGGGAGGGAAGGAGGGAAGGAAGGATGAATGAAACAAAGGATGGATGGAAGGAGGGAAGCAGGGGATGGTGCAGAAAGAAGAATGAAGGGAGGGATGGAAGGACAGAGGGTGGATGGACAGATAACGGGTGAGTGGCTGGTGGATGATATCTATGAATGGGTAGATGATAGGTGGACAGATGGATGATGGCTGGTGGATGATGGATGGTGGATGGACGGACAGTGCTTGGGTGGGTGGATGATGGATGATGGATGGATGGATGGACAGATGGACATAGTTGGGTGGGTAGACAGAGATGGTGGGTGGACAGACAATAATTGGGTGTATGTATGGATGGATGCACAGACGATGGTTTGGCGGATGGTGGATGGTGGATGGGTGATGGATGAATAGACAGACAGATGATAGCTAGGTGGATGGATGGATGGGTGGGTGGATGGGCAGGTGGGTGGATGGATACAAGAACAGGTCCCTTGGCTGAGCAGAATGCATTGGTCTAAGATCTGACTCTAGAGCAGGCGCTCCCTGACTGGTCCCCACAGACAGTTATGAATGCCCATGTACCCTCATCTGCCTAAGACATGCACACACTCCCCTCACCAAATCCACACACTGTATAAGTGTCCAGGGAATACACACACACTGCCAGCAAGTCCTTCAAACCCTGATTGGACTGTAAACCAGGACTCAAAGGTTTTCAGGCTCAAGCTCGCTACAACAACTCAGCTACAAAACCAGTGACTTGTCAGAGACAGATCCTGCCCCTGCTGAAGGCCACAGCCCCGTCATAAAACGGATGCTGTTCCCTACTGGCAGCTGATGAGAGAAGACGTGGGGACACAAGCAGTTATGAAAGCCGCCACCAGGATGGGGAACTCGCCCAAGCAGGGCTGTGGGCTACTCCACCCGAGAGGACAGGAGGGGGCATCAGGATGTGTGTGGGGTCTCAGAGGCAGTTCTGCTGACCAGTCCCCAGCCCCGTCCCCGGCAGCACACACACACCAGGCGCGGGCCATTCATAACCAGTCCCAGCCTAGCAGCACCGCCCAGGCCCATCCCCAGCCCCTCGCCTGCAGATCCCGTCCCCGGGGCCACACACAGAGCCCGTCCCTGGCGGCGCGAACACACCAGGCACAGGTCATCGATGACACGCTGCTGCTCCAGCACCTGCAGCCGCAAGAACTCCATCTCTTGCTCGTCCCGCGTCAGGCTGAGGTCGTTCATGGGCATGTGTCGCTTCAGCGACACTGACAGCTTCTCCTTCTGCAAGGAGCGGGCACCCAGGTCACTGCCCGTGCGCCCACCCAGCCCACCAGTGGTCAGGACACTGGATGCAGGCTCAAGGGACAAGGGCAGGGACGGAGGGAGGCAGAGCCAGGATGGCCGGTGCACTGAGCGCTGCAGGCAGAAAGCAGCGAGCAACAAGGATGGATGGGCCTCAGGGGACAGGCTGATGGGCCCGCTGAGACCCGCTGGAGAGCCAGGGCGGGAGGCCGGAGGAGAGCGACCCGGGCAGTGGTGACTTTGGACACCCATCCCCAGGGCGGCTTGGGCTCTCAGAACCTCAGTCTTCTTGGCTGTAGAATGGGTGACTCATACGCTTTGGACAACGAGCCCAACCCTAATCTCTAAACCATGAACTACAAGGTAACCGCCCAACCCGAAGACCAGTCGTTCTTGCTGGGGCAAACCCCCCGAGCACACACGGCCCTGCCAGCTGGGCCCTAACCGCCTGCCTCTCCGGAGCACCTCATCCTCTCCGTGACCTGCCCTGTTGACTCTTCACTCCCATTTTACGGAGAAGTAAACTGAGGCTCACAGAGGTTGAGACTCATGCCTGACAGTCAAGAACATCCCAAGGGGTCAGTGCTCACCCCCCACCCTCCCCCACGGTCCCAGTGCTCAGCCCCCTCCTGCATGGGGCCTCTGGTTCTCAGCCCCGAATGGGACCCCTGGTGCTCACCCCTCTCCCCCATAGGACCCCTAGTGTTCACCGCCCCACAGTGTCCCTGGTGTTCACGCCCCACCTCCTGCCCCACAGGTCTCCAGTGCTCACCTCCCCCAGGGCCCCCGGTGCTCACCCCTGCACGGGGACCCCTTGCTCACTCCCCCACCCCTACAGGGCCCCCCAGTGCTCAC